AAGACAAATAAAAGAATGCAACTTGTTATTTTTAATAGTTGCAATGTTCTCGGAATTGTATGTGGGTTGTGTGAATTTCTGTTTCCCATCTTGGACAATAGTTTGAACTTTCATTTTTCAGATTCACTTAATGAAATTTGATTGAACAAATTTACTGTGAAAATTTTTCTTCGTGTTCTCAGCATTTGCTTAATTAGTCGTCTGTCTTATAATTGATTATGGACTTTATGGTTTGAACTTATTAGAGAGAATGGAATATGTTATGAATTATGATATGATGTAAGCAATGTTATTTTATTTATGTCGAAACCAAGAATGTTGGATCAGCTAGTTAGGATGCTTGAGTCTCTTTACACCCATAAATGGAGCTTGTTGGCATTTTAAATATGTATTTTACATATGCAGATAACTGGTAAATGGACAGCAAAGCAGCGCAAGGTAGCAATGCTTGTCAGTCAGGTTAAGAGCCTTCAAGCAAAGTTTACAGTTTGCAATCCAATTCTTGTGCCCCGATTTGATATTAAATTTGCATTTAAACTAGCAAGAGATGCAATAGATTCTCAGTCTCAGACTAACCAGCCTGCACAATCTATCACTTCCAAGAATGTGAATGAGACTTGCGTGATATGTTTGGAAGCTACTGATGTTAACCAAATGTTTTCAGTTGATGGCTGTCTGCATCGGTATTGCTTTTCTTGTATGAAACAACATGTAGAGGTGAAGTTGCTTCATGGGATGATTCCTAGATGCCCTCATGAAGACTGTAAGTCTGATCTTACTGTTGATAGTTGTGCAAAATTCTTGACACCTAAACATGTGGAGACTATGCGCCAACGCATAAAGGAAGCTTCAATTCCTGCCACAGAGAAAGTTTATTGCCCGTACCCGAGGTGCTCCGCTTTAATGTCAAAACGTGAACTTTTACAAGACATGAAATCGCGGGATGTGGAACTATCAGGAGTTCGAAAATGCTTGAAATGTCAGTGCCTTTTTTGTATCAATTGTAAAGTCCCTTGGCACAGAAACAGAACATGCGCCGACTACAAAAGGTTGAATCCTCATCCCCCAGAAGATACAAAGCTAAAGTCCCTTGCCTCAACGAATCTGTGGCGCCAGTGTGTGAAGTGCAACCATATGATTGAACTTGCTGAAGGTTGCTACCACATGACTTGCAGGTATTTACTATTTAATATTGTTTTCAGTAAACTAAAAACCTGAGAGAATAAGATATGTTGTAACATTACAATCTGTTTCTGTCTTTGAGGTGTTGCACACACTATTGATGTCATAACTCGAAAATTATAAGGTCATACCTTTGGCTGTTATATGAAAACTGTTGTATTATATCATAATAGAAAATTTGAAAGCTGTTGTATCAAGTTTGCAAGCGACTCTATCTGCGTCATCTTATTACTCATCCTAATGCACTGATCTCTTTTGCAGGTGTGGGCATGAGTTTTGTTATAATTGTGGAGGCGAGTGGAAAGACAAAAAGGCAACATGCTCATGCCCACTATGGGATGAGGGTAATATTTTGCATGATGAAGATGATGAAGATTTTGATTTTGATGAAGAGGATGTGTCAGAGTCAGATTCCGAGGGGTATTATGATTCTGACTCGGTCATAATGTTCTAATAACATTGCCCTCTAAAGAGGCCTTACCTCAAATTTTCTCTGTTCGGAACATATTTTATAATATTTATGTCAATATATTTTGTGGAAAGTATGAATCGAATTTCTTTATTTTGATTCTCAGCTGCTTGTTCACAAGGCTTTTCCATCTCTTAATTATTGTATAGAAAGGAGAACATAGAGTGAAAAAGAGCCTGCACTGCCACAATTGAGCTCATAAATAATGTGAATATGTTTTATAATGTTTTGTGTGTTTCAGACTGTACCATCGTTTGAGATGTGCGTTTTTCCTGGTATTATGCTTATTGTAATTGAAATCTATCGAAGATCTGTTCACTTAATTTGCAAGTAACTATGCTTATGTCATTTTGGTAATCATGTTCGTGCTGTTATTGCTTTTGCAGACATGCTCCTGGGTTTTGCAATGACTGTGGACAGTCTACAGACTACACAGGAGCATGTTTACACCCAGTTTTGTTTGAAGATGATATCTTATTTGACGGAGATAGTGATACTCAGGAGTTGAAAAAAGATGAATATGAAGGTGAAGTTAAGGATGACGGCCTAGAAGAAGACGGATATGAAGATGAAATCGGGCAGGAGGTTCAGGAAGAGATGCATATCTTGCCTGCTGTAGATGGTAGAGATCTTGATGAAGAAATTGACGAAGATGAGGAGTTCTGTGACTCTGACTGCGAATGCTATGAAGATGAGGTTCATGAGAAAGAGGTTCGAGAGGACGTTCAGGAAGAATGGTTGGAGCAAGGTCAGGTGGATGAGAACTTCTATGCGGAAAATGATACAGATTTTGGTGACGAATATGAGGAAGATGAAGAGGAGTGCTGTGACTCTGACTGCGGCCGCGACTGTGACTGCTACGACTCTAACTCAGATTACTATTGATAAACAAAAATATGGCTGGTAATCTTCGTACGAAGTAACCCGCAGAAAGGGGAAAAAATGGTCTTTGAAGTGTCAACAAAGTGTTTTGTTTTTTTCTTGTTCCCAATTGCTTGTCCACGAGGGTTTCTCTCCGCTTCGATTATCATCCGTGTCCCTTCCTTTTTTCACTCTTTTCTTTTTGTCCTTTTTCTATATAAAATATTCAAACAAAATATTAACGTGGCTTAATCGCAACTGTTTAAATATGAGGGAAGAGAAAGGGAGAGAGAACCTAATCCTTTATTTTGAAAGGCTTTTTCAGCCAGTTTTCTTTTGTAATACGTGCAATAGAAAACGTGAATAGCTGCAATTGAAAATAGAAGATTTACTTGTTGTGAAAGTTAAAGCCAAACCTCCTTTTTATGGTCTCGTTCTTCATCACTTTGATCCCTCCCTTTCATTTCCGCTAATCGTTAACGTTTCTAGCATTTTATCTTTTTATTCTAGTTCAGTTGTTCCCTCAATCACAAGAATTGTCACTTAGTAGTATGATTAATAGTATTCCTCTTTACTTGTAAGTGAGAGGTCTTATGTTTTATTCTCGTCAAAAGTTAATTTGAATCACATTATTGCTAGCCCATTGTGAGGCTAAGCCCCTCCTTAGTGAAGATAATATCGTTTGTTACAAAAAGAAATGTACTAATATCATTTTACGTAAGGAAAAAGATAGGGAGACATGCTTGTATGTAGACCTAGTAATGCTAGGGAGAGATAATCTATTTAAATTATATCTTGTAAATCATAATGTGTATGAAGCTAAAAATAATGCGAAAATTTATGGAATTGACACATGAGCTTTTCTCCGAAGAAGACAAGAATGCCTCATTAAATTGGTGAGGCCCACATTTTAATCTATGCGTAGTTCAACATTCTTAAAGACCCGACCAGCTAACTACAATCTCATCGAGCACTTGACCATGATGAGGAGAAAAGTTAAATATATTAAAGATGTGATTAATTACTAGATCTTATCTTTAATACTCGCCTATTTGAAGAACAACTATATTTGACCAAGGATATTACAAGATAATTTCAAGATATTATTTATTAAATAATACCTTTGGGATAATTTTTTCCTCATCCATCTTACGGATGATTTACTTTGTCCAATTGGATGCTGACACGTGTCAGGGCAAACTTTACATGTGGTCGGCCTGGCAAGTACCCATCTTCACCAATTTTGATAAGCATTGGGAAATTTTATTTGAACCCATAAAACTTCTTTCTACACCCCAACTTAAATTTTAATTTTAAATTGTCTTTTTTACCCCCATTGCATAATTGTCATCAAATACAAAATGAAATTATACTAAAATTAAAATTTATCAATAAACTCACAGTCAATAATTAAACCCCATCATTAGCAATCTTTATCCAACGTACATCCTGGCTAAAACCAAGAGCTCTCATAAAGAAAAACAAGCTCTTTTTGATCCATGGATGATGATTTTGAAGTTTTGAATCTTCTAACTAAAACATGAATCGATTTATGCATGTTTTTTTTTTTGTTTGTTTTCAATTTTTTTTAGAGTTTAGAAACAAGAATCGGTGATTGTGGAGTTTCTTATATTTTGTGCCCTCTTTGTATGTCCCTTTGAACTGCATCTTTTACTTCTCAACAATAGTTACAAATTCGCAAGAAGGCATCATTCTACGTTGTCTGCACTAAAATAGCAATAAAGTCTCCTAGAAATATTGGAATCACGAACTGTAAAATTCTCCATAAACTAGACGTCCATATCTTTCCAAGCATATAAGGTTCAATTTTTGGTTCGTCTCGAGGAATTACAGTTTAATATTCAAACTTCATAGATATGCACAACAAATCTTTGATTTTGGGATGTCTGAACTAAAATGGCAATAATGTCTTTTAGAAAAATCAAAATCATGAACCGTAATTTTAGGGTAATGCTAAGTGATCATCTATTTAAATCATGTTTTGTAAATTATATGATGTGGGTGGAACCAAAACAATTCAAAAAATTCTGAAACTGACATGTGAACTTTTACTCGAAGAAGACAAAAATGTTCTTATTAAATTGACGAGACTCACATTTAATCTACGTGCAATTCAACATTCTTAAAGACGTGAACACCAAACTACAACTCATCAAACTCTCATGCCCTTGCCCATGGCAAGGAGAAAAGTTAAAGGTATTAAAAATGAGATTAATTATTAAATCTTATTTTTAATACTCTTTTAATTAAAGAACAACTCAATCAAACAAGAAATCACGATCATATCCAATAAAAGATTTACAAAATAATTCCACCATATTATTAAAAAAATAATATATTTGTAATAATTTTTTTTTCATTTATCTTACGATTGACTCACTTTGACCAATCAAATGCCGATACATCTCAGAGCAAACCCTAAATATATGTCCGACTTAGCTCCTATAAATACCACATCTTTACTAATTTTTGGTAAACTTCTGTTACGCAATTTGGTTGCAATAGAATTTTGCTAGTAAAGGGGCTGTAGACTCTTCAGTTTCGCGTTCCCAATGCCTCCTGTTTCCCTTGGTCTCTACCTTCTCTAACACGTCACCAATCCTTCCTTTTTCCCGTCCTTCGCCTGTCACTGCACTCCACCAAAAAAAAAAAAAAAAAAAAACACTTTTCCTCTCCACCGCCCGATCATGGACGTTCGTACGAACGGAGACGACCTCGACACCATTCTCTCCGAGCAGCGCAGAGAGCTCATGACGGCCAAAACCCTGGACTCCGACCTCGAAATGGCCTTCAAACTCCAAATGCAGGAAGCCATGACCGCCTCTCTAGCCGTTAAACCCTCGTCGGCTTCGGCTTCGAGTTCGCACAACCTTCTGCCTCCGTCGCCGCCCGACGATGGCTCGAATGACGCCGTATTAGAATTGGCCGCCACTCTGATGCTCGAGGACGTCGAGCGGTTCGCTCAGGAGCGCGAGGACCACGACCGCACCGTTTTGGAAATGATGAAGGCGAAGGAGGATCTCAACCGTCGGATTTACGATCAGAAGTTCGCCGTCGACCTCCGCGACGTGCCCGAGGACTACTGGGCCAACTACGGCGAATATTACGAGCGCCCGTACTGTACGGGCTTCTGGTCTTCGTCGTCGTCGTCGTCAAAATATCCGGCGGTGGTGAGTGAGAATTTGAGGCTGTATTGCAAGGGGGTGGTGAGCGAGGAAATGGTTAGGGATGTGAAGGCGGTGGTAGGCGGGGTGGGTGTCGCGATCTGCGACCCGATGGACAATGTGATATTCGAGGCGAGGAAGAATCTGGAAGCGGTGGTTGACGGCGTTGTGCTGAGCAATGAGGCGGCGGAGCTCGAGGCCATCGTTGAAGGGCTTGACAAAGCTCTCGCTCTGGACTTGAAAGCTGTGACCTTTTTCTGTGATGACTACATGATTTACCAATATGTGAGTTTTAGCAGTTAAACAATCGCTTTTTACTTATCAATCTGCTTGCTTTTTTTGGGAATTAATTTAATATTTTGGTGCTTTTTGTTTGGAATTATTGGGTGAAAGTTTGTGTCTTTTTTGTTAAAGATGATAGTGTTGACTTGTTGCAATCTTTGGTTGTATGAACTAGTGTATATTTTGGTATGTGGGGCATTGCCACTACACATCGTGTGGGTTTAGTGGGAAGTGTGACAAAGGTAATTGAATTGACAATTTCTAGTCATAGACCATAGTTGGTGAACATGGATATCAATCGTTGTGATTTGCTTAGTCGGGTTTTAGTTAAGCGGTTCGGTTGGCTTAATTTGTTTAAGTGCAATGTAACAAATGTTGCTCCTTAATTTGTGAAAGGGTTTTGGACTGTTAAATTTAGCAGAAGCTGCAAGGTCTAATCCCGAGCAACTTGATATTTGAGATTTGGGAGAACAAATAGTTGTTTTGATAAACCTGTCCTGAAGTTTCGAAGTGCTATGCTAAACATTTTGCTCTGTTTGCTGCTCTTGTGTGACAAAGCCAACTACTAGTATCAATATGTTGGAATTTCGTATTGCGCTATCAGCAATGCCATTCGTGCAGGTAGATGATTTTGTTACTGTAATAAATTTGTTTAACTTTTCTTGGCTATGTATTTCGTCAAGATTTGCTGATTCTGTTAATTAAGTATTTTGTTCATTCAAAAGGAAACAATCTATCTAGAAAACCAGATTTTTGATGTTTTCTCATTTTTTTTTCTTGTTATCCGTAGTACAATCCATGTCTTTGCTATGATAATCATTAGTCGTGTTTATTGAATAAAGCATGCTTAGCATAACAGAACATTCTGTTTGGTGCCACTTACGTAGATGATTGACATCTTACAAATACAGGTCACAAACAGGGTGCATCCTGGAAACAGCAAGGTTGCCACGTTAGTTAATCAAGTGGCTCTTCTACGGAGAAAATTTGTATATTGCAGTCCTTCTCTTGTGGCACGGAGTGACATTAAGTTTGCACTTAAACTTGCAAGAGAGGCTATAGTTTCTCAGATTACCTGGCATGCGGAAACTGGCAAAGGAAAGAGTTTGAAGGAGACATGTGTAATTTGCTTTGAAGACTGATGTTGCTGAAATGTTTTCAATCGATGGTTGTTTACACAGGTATTGCTTTTCCTGTATGAGACAACATGTGGAAGTAAAGTTTTTTAATGGGATGGTGGCAGAGTGCCCTCACGAAGGCTGTAAAACTGAGGTGAATATTGATGGCTGCGCAAAATTCTTGGCTCCTAAACTAGTCGAGGCTATTAGCCAAAGAATCAGGGAATCCGCTATTCCTGTTACGGACAAGGTTTATTGCCCAAATCCCAGGTGTTCTGCATTAATGTCTAAAAGCGAGGTCTTAGAATATACTAAAACTTACTTTGTCGGTGCTGAACAATCTGGAGCCAGGAGATGCATGAAATGTCAGTACTATTTTTGTATAAATTGCAAGGTTCCTTGGCACTTCAATATGAACTGCTATGATTACAAAAGATCACATCCCTATCCCCGTCCAGAAGATCAGTTGATGAACTCTCTAGCTACAAAGAAACACTGGCGCCAGTGCGTCAAGTGCAACCATATGGTCGAACTTGCCGAAGGTTGTTACCACATAACTTGCAGGTATTACATTCCTCTTCTCCCTGCTATCTGACTAATCTTTTAGTTGTTGTGTTGTTTTTGTTGTATCTTACATAAAATTAACAACTTTGTGAGAGAGGACAGAAATGAGAAAAAGATAAACAAAATATATAGACAGTGAACTCGAGATGATCTAAGTGCTGGCAAGTTGTGATTACAAGCGCCAATCTATGCATGTTGGTCTAATTTACATTCTCATATATTTCCTTTGCTAGCTTCAAACTGTCTTTTCTCTTCTTTTAGACTTTCACACACGAAAAGAAAAGTTATTGTTTTCTGGGTGCTACTATTTTTGCTTTACAACAATCCTTGCGGTTTGTCGATGCTTGCATTGTCTTTGTAGATGTGGATATGAGTTTTGCTATACTTGTGGTGCTCAATGGAAGAACAAGAAAGCAACATGTAACTGCCCAATCTGGGTCGAGCGTAATATCATACGTGAACAGCCAAGACAGGCACAGCCAAGGCACGCACAGCCATTTATACGTGAACAGCCACGGCAAGCACAGCCAGTTCAACGTGAACAGCCACGGCAAGCACAGCCACTTATTCGTGAACAGCCATGGCAAGCACAGCCAATTATTCGTGAACAGCCACGACAGGTGCGGCCACGACGATGATCATAACTTATATGGCTTGTCAGATTACAACTGAAAATATTTAGGCTAATAGTCTTTTTTTTTTGCGTTTTCTTTTCATTTTGTTGATGTTTGGCGCATTAATACATGGCTTTTCTATCCTGCACACGTTACTGTGAGCATCAAGTGAATGCCCCAAATGAAATCAAATCCCAGCCTTTGATTTTTATAGCTTAAACATGAGCTACTGTGATGAGTTGAGGCCGGCCGGCGCTTGGCCCGGTCCTAGGACAATTGGCCCTATAAGTTGGAAGATCCGAGCTGAGTTAGCCGGACCAGTGGCCCAGAATTTCTGTAAAACAGGCCTGTTCAATCTATCATGTATGGAAGAAATGAATGTCAACGTCTGAATTTTGTCCACGTGAAATGTAAAAGACGGATTAGTTGCAAAGGAAACTTATAATTTCAAAGCCCCCCATTCAACTTTTGCCTTCAATGACAAAATTTAGAAGTCATGTCCATTTCTTGCTTCCGCATTTATTTAATGTAATGAATTATCTAATTCAATTCAGTTCTAGAGACCCGACGAGATTTATTATCATAAAGGTAAACAACATCTCCTCACGAAAAATTGGGTTCAAACTTCATACCTCAATGATTCTAATTTGAAAACCATAACAAGTCAATACTCTTGAGTCTTTTTTTTTTATCTTTTTCATACAATAATATATTTGTTGTAGACCTAATTTAATAAACTATTCTAGAGGGAATAAGGAGAGGGGCTGGTGGCAAGAGAGATTAGGGAATAAGGAGAGGGTGCTAGTGGCAAGAGAGAGTAAAGAGATTTAATTGTGAGGTGTGTTGTATTCCATCTCATTGTGTCTTTATTTATAGTAATAGGGAAGGTTAATTCCTTAGGATTACAACTCTAATAGGATAATATCTCACCCTAGACAATCTTCTAAAGATATCCCAAATACTTTAGAATTTACACAATGGTATTCCTATATTAAATATGACTGCATCACCCCCCCTTGAGTGCTTAATACTCAAACAAAACATCAGATTAGGTCTTCAGCAGATGAAGTAGATCAGTTGATAAAGTCGTCGGCACAACGGGCAAATGCAAGTCTCAAATTAAAGAGTATGCATTGGTAGTAAAACTCACAAAATCTCACTATGGTAAAACCTAAGGAGGTACAAAAATCTTAAACTAAGGAGAAAAGTGAGAAGTATGCATAATGTCTAAAACAAAAGTCATACGGGACGAAAGTTATGAACGTCAAAGAGTATGATCATCCCATGATGGGTACCTTATCAAAACCTTGTTAGGTACCAAAAACCCAGTGGGAAAAATGCTCATAATCGTAGAAAAAAGAGTCCATTAAGATCAAGTGAGTATACTTCGGGATACTCCCCCTAGTTAGACATAACTTCTATATATGAGAACTACAAGCAATTCAACTCAAATAATTTACGCATACCGATTCTTTAGACAAGTTTCTGAAAAGTAGACTTGGGCAATGACTTGGTGAAAACATTGGCTAGGTTGTATTGGGAATGGAGTTGATTAACTTCAATGTTCTGATGTTGTTGTTGCTAGTGAGAATAAAAGAACTTCGGCGCAATGTGCTTGGTGTTGTCTTCCTTGATGTATCCCTTTTTCAACTGCTCAATACATGCTGCATTGTCTTCAAAGATCATTGTAGGATGGCCAATGGCAGCAGAAAGACCACTAGTGCTTCAAATATGTTTCACTACTGCTCTCAACCAAAAGCATTCAAGCGAGGCTTCATGCAAGGCGAGAATTCAGCATGGTTCGAAGAAGTCGCAACTAGCGTTTGCTTGCTAGACCTCCAAGATATTGGGAGTGTCTTCAACGGTAAAGACATATCCTGTTTGAGAATGTGCCATATGTGTGGATCAAACAGATAACCAGCATCTGCGTAACCAACGAGGTGGGAATCAACCCAAAGATCGAGGGGGGTGGTGGCTCATCTTGAGGATTCGTGGGTGCAGAACAAGCCCAAATTCATCGTCCCATTGAGGTTGCGGAAAATATCTATAACACCATTTTAGTGTGCGTGTAGGCGCATTATTATATCTTGCCAAAAGATTAACAGCGAATGAGATGTCGAGTCTAGTACATTGAGCCAAGTACAATAAAGCACCAATTGCACTTAGGAATGGAACTTCAGGCTCTAAGATCTATTCCTCATCCTCCTTGGGACGGAAGGGATGTCATTTAGCATCTAGAGTTCGAACGTCTATAGGAGTACTCGAATGCTTCACTTTATCCTCATTAAAACATCGCATCACCTTCTGGGTGTAGTTCAATTGATGTACTAGGATTCCATCTAATCAGTGCTCATTCTCCAGGCTAAGGTAATATCGAGTTTTGCCAAGATCCTTTATCTCAAATCCCAACTTTAAGTGAGAGGCAATTTCCTCAACCTCTTCGAGAGTTTCGATAAGGTATGTCGTCGACATAAACTGCATCGATTGCAAATTCGAGATGTGACTTCTTGATGAACATGCATGGGCATAGATCATTGTTCACATAACCATGACTTGTCAAATATTCACTCAGACGGTTATACCACATTCGTCCGGATTGTTTCAATCCGTAGCGTGATCTCCTCAATCTAATCAAGAGGGTGTTCTGTGATCTAGAACTATTTGAACTAGTAAATGGAAGTCGTATGAAAATTTTCATGTAGATTTCCATATCTACATACTCAGTCTTTTCTTCTTTGTTTTCTTTATTATTTTATTATTCCTTCTTTATTCTATATTTAAAAGAAGGTTTGACAAAAAAAATGATAAATCTATCCCACTATCTTATGTTTTTCCACACTTTTAATTAAAAAATTTAGTGACATATTTATCGTTTTGTACAAGGACTTTTAGACCTAAATCACTTTACAAATTTATCATAATATTCTTATAAGAACAATATTTGGCTACTTGACTAGGAGTCTATAAAAAAATAAAAATAAACAAACTAGGAGTTTCTACTCAAAATTGCTTGTTGTCAATCTATTGATTTTCGTATTTGTAATCAAATTCGTTCATATCATAAATCACCTTATAAAGATCGTTTCTGCAAAAAATCAATTAAAACTAAAATCGATTAGTAATAGAATTGTATAAAAAAAACAAATGAACATAATAGGTACAAGCTTACAACTATTCCAGCAGTTATGGAAGAAAGTAGTAGGGTACCCATCAGGCCCTGGAGAGATTTTTCAGTGTTCCCATCACATGAAGTGAAACATCACTTACCTTTATATAAATGATGGATTATGTGTGTTAAAAGATTAATAACTTAAAAATTAAAAAATTTCATCATTTACATAAAAAACACATGAACTTTGAACGGGCCAATAGAGAAAGAAGCGAAATTACACACTGATTCTATAGGAATAAAAATTAAAAAGTTAGTCAACATTAGTCAAAAGTAATTTTACAAGACACGTGGCTAGAATATGTAGGCTCTCATTTGCCAGGCCTTCTCCTGTTTCCCTCTCTATTGAGAAAGTTTCCATTGTGACCGGGACACGTACACCGTGTTCCGGGTGTATCACCCCTTCGGTCACAAAAATCTCTCTCTCTCTCTCTACCTTCCCTAACAAGTTTCCGCTTTCCCCCTTCATTTTTCAGTCCGTCGCTTCCACTCCCCAATTACAAACCCAGTCTCAGCAGCAAAAGAAAAACAACCACTCTGCCACCATTCTCTCCGAGCAGCGCAGAGAGCTCATGGCGGCCCAAACTCTGGACTCCGATCACGAAAAGAGGCCGATCATGGATGATCGTACGGACGGAGACGACCTCGACAATATTCTCTCCGAGCAACGCAGGGAGCTCATGGCGGCCCAAACTCTAGACTCCGACCTCGAAATGGCCTTCAAGCTCCAAATGCAGGAAGCCATGATCGCCTCTCTCGCCCTCGTACCCTCTTCGAGCTCGCACAACTCTCCACCGCCGTCGCCGCCTCACGAATGCTCAAACGACGCCGTCTTGGACATAGCCGCCGCTTCTGATGCTCGAGGACGTCGAGCGATTCGCTCAGGAGCTCCAGGACCACGAACGCACGGTATTGGAAATGATGAAGGCGAAAGAGGATCTCAGCCGTCGGATTCACGATCAGAAGTTCGCCGTCGAACTCCGCGACGTGCCCGAGGACTATTGGGCCCAGCACGGCGAGTATTACCAGCGTCCGTACTGTACGGACGGCGCGTCATCATCAAAACCTGCGGTGGTGGTGGAGACTGAGAATTTGAGGCTGTATTGCAAGGGTTTGGTGAGCGAGGAGATGGTTAGGGATGTCAAGTCCGTGGTGGGTGTCGCGATCTGCGACCCGATGGACAATCTAATATTCGAGGCGAGGAAGAATCTGGAGGCGGTGGTTGACGGCGTCATGCTGAGCAATGAGGCGGCGGAGCTCGAGGCCATCATTGAAGGGCTTAACAATGCTCTCACTCTTGACTTGGAAGCTGTGACGTTTTTCTGTGATGACTACATGATTTACCAATATGTGGTTTTTAGCAAATAAACACAACGCTTTTT